TCATTAGATGATAATGAAAAATGACAGTTTTGACCCTAATGTCCATTTGAATAAACTTAATCAAAAGAAAATAAAATTAAAAATATCATTTTTGCCCCTAATAAGACACAAGAAACCACTCTATTTGGCTATATTTGGTCAATTTTGTTTTTTGTGTGAAGTGTTACAGGTACTTTTGGAATAAACAATCATGGGCCCATACACTTGAACATTTTCCACTAAATTTAGGTGATCATGTTATTGTCTTTAGATGGAAAAACAAACATTTCTTAGTGATCATGTTATTGTTGTGATCAATACCCTGTACTTTGGCTTGAGTGACAATTTGGTCCCTGAACTTTAAAATGCGACAACCCAGTATCCAAACTTTCAAAATGCGACAATCTAGTACCTACCGTTAATTAGTCATTAAGTGACATGCAAAAAAACACAAATACCCTTCAAGTGTCATCTAATTTTCTTTATCAACCATCTGCTAAAATCAGAACCAACCATCAAATTCAAGTTTTTGGACTTTGATATGGATTCGGATAGAGGAAACACATTACTCTGTAGTACTCAAATGAAAAAGCTCCTCTTTGTGGATCTTTTCTATGGGTTATAGCTAAAGAACACACTTCTTCCATAACACGGAAATGAGAAAGCAAGACTTTTCTTTTGTTATGGCTTGGATCACAACAATAACCCTGAATCAAGAACAGAGAAAACTCATTAATATCCAAAATCCAGATGGGGAAAAGAAAGCTTTTTTCAGCTTTTTGGAGGATAAGAGTGGTCTCTGAACATGAGAGATGATGAAGTGGCAGAGAAGTGAGAAGAGAAAAGAATTTAACGCTAAAAGCTAAGAAGAAGATGTTTAAGTAACCTGAAATCGAGTAAGGCGTTTGCACTGTAGCTAGGCTGAAGAAGTAAAAACTAAAAGGAAGATGATATTAGTGGCGATTGTAGCGGAGCTGCTTGAGCAGTACAAGGCGCTGCTGGTTAGGATATTACATCAAATGTTTCACGCACCCCCTTTTCCATGGCGTTTGCATTTCATTTTTTTGATTCTTACTCCATCTCCCCACCACAATCTCAACTGCATATGGAGGGGGCTGTCTATCTCTATTTCTCGTTACTGCAATTTGTTTTTTGTGATCTGAATGATGCATACATAATAGCAATTTTATTTTCAGTCTCAATATTTCTTCTGCTCGCCACAGTTTATGATTTTAATCTCTCTCCCCCTCCCTCAACTACTATAGAGATGAAGAAGATGATCAGTGTGTTTTATTTTCAAGGGTAATTTTAATATATTCTAAAGTCTCAAATCGCACTTGAGGTCACATGATATACATAACTGACGATCCATTAACAGCAGGTACTAGATTGTCACATTTCAAAAGTTCAGGTATTAGATTCTCGCATTTTAAAGTTCGGGGACTAAATTGTCGCTCAAGCCAAAGTTGATCGAAAATTTTCCCTAAAATTAATATAATATACTAAAATAATAAAAATTAAGATAAATAATAAAAAATAATACAAATTTATCTAACAACACATAACCCAAAAATAATTTGAATAGGACTTGGTACCACTTGGCCGAATTGACATTGTTATAAGGCTCCTGCCACAATTTCTTCCAACAACACCCGTGCAATAGGGCTTGACTAATATATATAAAATAAAATTCAGTTTTGTTATTTTGGCATTGCCTTAATTCAATTTGAGGGTCCATTTGGTTCATAGTCATAATTGGAATCGGAATCGAAATCAAAATCCTTCGGAATCGAAATCAGAATGATCCATTCCCATAGTCTGTTTGGTTTAGACAGAAATGGGAATGGGAATTGAAACAAGCAAGAATGGGATTTCAATCCCAAGGGAGGGGCAGGGAATGACCATTCCCTTAAATGGAGGAATGTCATTCTAACAAGAATGAGAATGAGATTCCAATTCCACACAAGGTTCTAAATATCGACCTGGGATGGTGTATCGGCCTATGTCTGTACATTTTGTTAAGTTTTATTTATTTTTTCGAAACCGGTTCAAAGGGGTCGGTTTAATGCCCGGCTATCCTCTAAACCAGTGGTTGACCCGATACAACCCCTGGAGGGGCGTATTGGTAAGCCATCGACACGATACGTATCAGCCGATACGGGCCAATACATATCGATAATTTGAACCTTGATCCTGCCCAACCACCCGGAGCCCAATACATATAGCCCATTCCGATTTCAATTCCAGACCCCTATTCTCACAAACCAAACGGAGCCCAAATTCTGTTTTTAACCAAAATAAACCGAATGCTTTTTTATTTGATAGAAAAATAAACCGAATGCTGACACAAACTTAAATGGTTTTATATGACGGAAAAATACGAACAGGCCCAATGCAAATTTCTGATTTCCACTTCAGAGTTATAAACATTCAAAATGTCAAAAAACCCCATTCTACACACCAATACCTGCCTGTAAATTGACATCAATTCCAAATTGGCAACCACCCCTACTGTACTTTGGGCCTAAAAATTCTGACCTTAAGCTGAACCGTCATTCTCCCGTTATCAAGCTGACCTTGATGGCTGTGTAACGATGATGATACATCCAGAGAAGTGGGAGATTGAGTGGTTGTGGGGCATACACAATGAGGACAGTGGGGCCTTATTATTGGTTACACGGCCCATCTCACAGCTAATCCTTGGTTTGTCAAATGAGTCCTTAAAATGGGTTTAGTAGATTCTAAACCACTATATTCATGTAATCGCAGGACTATAAATCCACCTTTAGAACTTTTTTTATATTTCTTTTGAAGGGCTACAAGGGGAGTAGACCATCCCCCAAACCAGGTGCAGGCGGGAGTTGATCCCAAGCGTAGCATGCTGCAAGCATTGATAGAAGGCCGGAGTTGATCTCAACCGCTAGGACTATTATACAATCTTTTCAACTTCCTTCCAATTAGAGGTGTAAATTGGACCATGCTGCTTGTGGCCCGGCACTGTTTGGTCCAACTTTGGACCGACTCGACATGATGGCATGTGGGTTGTGTCAGGCCCGGTATGATGGTCTTTGTCGTGCTGGGCCTAAGGTTTTAGGTCTGTGGGCCAGATTGGCATGGCACGATGAAATGGGCCATGCCACTCGCAGCCCGGCCTGGCACGGCCCATATATACTATTTATATATTTTTTATCTATATATATTTTATATATTTATATATATAATATATAATATGTAATATATTGTATATTATATAAATTATAATTGTATAATAATATATAGTATATAATATATTAATAAAATAAACAATTGTTTTCAATTTTATTATACTAATTTATTTAATTATTATATATATATAAGTAATTGTATATATCAAAATTCATATAAAATTAAAATTAATTTTTTTTCAATTTTTTCAAATAAATAGACAAAAATAACTTTAACCCGATCCATGACCCAAGTTGAGCTCAGATTAACCCACGGGCCAACCCAACCCGCAGCATCACACGACATGGCACAGGCCTGTATAGGCTTGGGCCATGAGCCGTGTAGGGCTGACCCCCAATTTTTTGGTGGCATGACCTGTGACGGCCTACAGGCCGTGCCATGCAGTTTGTACGGGCCACCCGCGGGCATGTGCCAGCCCGACACAGCCCACTTTACTTCCAATAAAGTCCATTGTAACTTGTAAGCGTAGCATGCTGCATGCATTGATAGAAGGCTGGACTCTTTTTAAGGGTTATATCTTTATAGGGAATAAATGAGAGAGACGTGCAATTGGGCAAATATAATTAAAGATTGCCCCCACTGGTAATCTGGTATCAAACACACGTATGAGTTATTTTATTTCTGGGGAGACCTGTACACTTGGGGTCTGTCTCTTTGCCAGTGGACACCAAGTGGCTTAACCTGTATTGCCCAGTCACTTGCAGATGGACATACAAGAAAAAGTATCCATGCAAGAGGAGACAACCCAACCAACCGCACACGGCACACGTATCCCAAGCTCCTAATGATAATAAGCTAATAACAGAACAAATGTAGAAACGAACCATGTATCTTAGTACTCTCTCCAGACTCAAACATACAATAGCAGTTCAAGTGTATACCACACCTCTGATCCACAACAATTCAAATTTGATTTTGATCCCAATCCGACAGTATTATTTTATTTTTATAAGCAAAGTCTGTATTTTGCATTTTCAGTAAAGAGTCAGACATTAGTCTCTTCCTCTGTTCATATTTACTGCCCTAATTGAAGGGGAAGACAACCTTAGACTACAGTACCAGAATGGAAAACCCAGACCAATATCAAGAGACTGCAATTTAGCGGTATCAGAACCTGCACGTTTGCACTTTGCACATCCTGCAAACCAGGGTAACCATGTATTTGACCAATCTCCACTAACAGTTCATTGGCCTACCTAGTCCTTCGGCATGGAAGAGCAATATAGGCAAACCGGCAAATGCACTAACAGCGTTTTGAACTCGTATGTCTTAACCTCATGCAACAAAAGAGCACCATCATATGCAACCACAGCTGTAACTCGAATACGTGATAATAAAGATGGAGAGTAGAGAACTACAACCTAAAGGCTGGGATACAGAACATGTCTTACCTGACATGTAGGAATCAGAGGATTCAATGATTCAAAGATTTCAGACAGGACAAGGTCCATTAAAACATGGAAGAAACAAAATGTCGCAGGTCATAAAAACACTACTAGATCAACCACAAAAGCATTCCTGGGTAACCAGAGATTAAAACTCAAAAAGATTACAAGCCAAAAATTCCATAACTATCCAAGATGCATTTAACTTATCTGGAATGGACTTCCAAATTTGCAATTTCGTGGCCGAGTCAGAAGTCCTATGGAGCACCATGGGTTTCTTTTTTTTTTTTTTTTTTTTTCTTTGGTGGAAAACCATGGGTTTAATTAGCAAATATTTATAAAGTCGCGTCCCACATGTTTATAGTGTTGGACATGCATTTCCTTGGAGCGTAGGATGATGACAATGATGACTGATGAGTGATGAAAAAAATTAGACGATAGCAGTATGGCACATAACAACAAACCCGAAATTTGAAGTAGATACAACTACTTACAAGGAATATACCAAATTCCTACATTATGGTGAATTACCCCGTCAGGAGGCAGAAAAAGATGATGTTGATGCTTATACAATTTATTTCCATCTATTCTACACAGCCTGCCATTGCAGAGGGGGTGGTAAAAGAAAAAATGACTTATAGTACCCCAAAGGTGGCTATTTGACCCTTCATCTGACTTTCTTGCATCTCTATGACATGGGTACCATTGTTGAGCAAAAAATCATAATTTTGCTGCATCATCACAACCAGGAGCATCAGAACGATTGGCAATAGATGACCCTCTTGATGCAGCGACACAAGACCATGCTAGAGCTGCAGCACCAACACTAATGGTTATTCCAACTGAACTCCAAATCCACCTCCACCTTCTTTTTCTCCTTTGCCTACGCTGCCGAACCATTTCTTCATTTACAAAAGAAGAGAAAGGTCAAACTATCAATAACAAAGTTTTACTTTTATATAAATAAGCAAAAGATAAAGTCTGTAGTCCCTACTTTCATACAAGCATATTTACCTGGTTTTGGGGTAGATTCAACATAGAACCAACATGCCTTTTTTATTAATTTTGTTATGCTGAGCACAAGCTTGGATTATTTTCAGATCGCTTGCCTTAGTAGATTGACTTCATTACTCTTGACAGATAATTGTAAAAAAAATCAACTCAAAGTTTCATAAATATAAAAACTCAATGCATTAAATAAATGATTCTGGAAAACAACATCCAAGAAAAACTCAATATAAATGTGAACTAGATTAATCCCATTTGTGGTCCATAATTAGTCTAACCAAACCAGGTAGGTGTCTAGATGAGTACATAATAGCTATTTAATGAAATTCAGCTGGGAGTAAGCAGATTCATAAATATCAACAAATTTATCTTTTGCAAATTGCAATGCTTCTTTAAGCTATGGACCACTGCATGGTAAAATAATAAAATCTTGGGATGACAAGTATGAGAAAAACCAAAGCCAAAGGTTATGTCTGTATCCAGTCCACTCCACCATGTTCATGGGAAAAAGAAACACTTAGAATAAATAAATAAATAAATTATTTAACGAATACTTGGTTCAGGTAGAGAGAAAAAATTTGTTTCCTAATTATGTAGTAAGAGATATGACATATGACCTTAGAAAGAACAGAATGCACAAATAACAGTACTCCTATTGCCAATCCACTATGGTGGGACAAGGCAGATGATGGTGATGATGAATAAAAAGCTTACAGTAGCATGAAAGAAAAATAAATAAATAGCGTATCTTTCTGCATTATGATATGAATGTGAACAGAAAATAACCAAATAATGAAAATTCTGTATCAAAGAAAACATAGCATGCATGGATGGTATTTGGTCGAGTTCAGGGAAAGGAGGAAAAAGGAAGCAAAGAAGTTGAAAAAAATGGAAATCAGGCCCATCTTTTACTATTAAGTTGAAGTACAAATATCAGGAATTCAGGATTAACCAATGCAGGAGAAAAGAAAGAAGTCAAGAAATCTTACCAATAGCTTCTTGGTTCCTTTGAGACATCTCGTGATTTACAGCTTCATAATAATGTAGCCTGTCCCATAATCGAGCTATCTCAAAGTTCTTCAACTCAATCTGAGATTCCATTTTTTCCTCAGCCTCAGCCTTTGCAGATCCTCTCCCAATGGATTGGGATACAAACCGTGCAACACAGATCTGTTGGCACAGATCTTCTCCCAGATCAAAATCTGAATTCTCACCTTCAACAGCACTGCTTGAAGCTGTTGGCAGTGTCAACCCCACAAGGGATAATTGTTGCCCTATCCTTTGCCATTGCCTTTGCATGTTACTGAGGGCTTCTTCTGCTTGCTTCCGCTTTTCAATCTCTGATAACAAATTCAATCTTATATCACGAAGTTCAGCTTCAATGTCAGAAAGAGATGACTGCCTACCACCTTCACTAGAGAGCTCTATACCAAATAAGAAATTGAGTTAGCCTGCCTATTTTGTAATTATGAAGTAACAGTAAAAGGCAATTTTCCAAAAACTGAAATGCATAACCAATCTTTGTGATTGGTGATCAATGTTTAAGTGTTAAATTAAACTAAATGCTTGAGAATCATCAGGTTATGCTAATCAAGACTTAGGTTAAGTTTAACTCATGGATGTAAGAGAATTACTTTGAAACCCTAAAAAAATCAATATGCTACACAGAGATATTGAAGGAATACATCTTATGAATTAGACAAAGTACTCCACAATCATCAAATTCAGATCAACAAACCAATTTCAATTCATGATTGAAAAAAATAATTATTAAAACCTTAAAAAAGTCACTATGCTATGCAAGGCTCTAGAAATAATACTGAGAACTCAATTTAATACAGAGAAAAGGAGATAGAGTAGATAAAAAACCAACTAGCTAATTGTATGGCATCAATATAAATACACTCATCTACCATAGTTTTAAAAATGAAGCATCCACAGAATGTCCTTATCATGCCATATGCACAATAGTTACTGTTCAGGTGGCACTACCTCCACCCAAACAAGAAAATGAGGCACCAAGACTTCTATGGCAGCCAATATAGAGTGCTTCCAGCATAGAGTCCAAATCAGAAAGGGGTAGAAGAAGCCTCAGAACCAAGACTTATAAGATAGCCAAGATGCCCAATACAGAGCATGTTTCCAGCAAAGTCACAAGTCGGATAGGGGTAGTGGCCTTCAACAAACTCTCCAAGAGAATGTTCCCAGTTCCCCTTTATAAAAACATATATATATAATAACGATAATATCATAAAATAAAACTATATGCTACTTCTGTCAAACTTGTCTTGATGAACATCAAATTACTGAACCTTAACTAGGCTCCAAAAGGAATCCAAGTACAACTAACTCTTTTTCAGCTCAGCACCCTAACCAGTGGACTGTAATCATACAAGTCATTGATCAGGCCCCATTTATAAATGGGTGCCACTACCACCATAAAGATTGTGCAACTTTGCCTTGATCTAACTAGTTGAATCCAACCATCTAATACATGTTACTTTGACTTGCCTGGGAAAAATAATGAAAATATGAAGTTTAAATTAGAAAGTATAACCAAAATAAACAAGTTCGTCCATTCTTACCAATTGTTGTTAATGTTTACAACAGGGACCTGTATGACAAAGGCAAGTATTCCGGTTCTTCAAATACTGCCATGCAGATATGAGAACTTTTTCTCTTTCATTTTTTCCCCTTGGTACGAGATAATGAGGATGAAATACAATAGAAACAAGGGAAGAGAAAGAATAATTACCATCCCAAGCGTCATAAAACTCGCCCATTGGTGTAGTGAGCTTCAAAGGACGTTCGGTGCCCCTGGTGTCCTCTTCATCAATATTGCTAGTGAAACTCATCGATTCCTGAGGATCAAAGAAATCTTCACACTCATCTCTCCCATCAACAGTTGCGCCCACCTTTGAAGAATCTTCAGTCACACCCAACCCATCATTGAGATTTCTGTTTCCTGGCTCCCCGTCACGGAAGCCATTCACAACAACCTCCTTGGCTGAAGTTGTTTCTACAACCTCGATATCCATATTATTCCCGTTTGTGTCAACCTTCATTTCCTCTGTACCTTGCTGTTGCAATGAGACATCATCCTGGACAAAGCTCTTTAGAAGTCGAGGCCCACGTCTTTTGTGATTAACAATATACGGGGAGGGAGGGAAGGATGAAGGGGAATCGGGAAGAGGAGTTGGTACAGGAGTGGCATAGAGCGTTGGCGATATCTGTGGCAGGTGTGTTCTCTTTTCTGTTCGACTGTCCGGCTTCGTATTGAGTGGTTTGGGAATAGATTTTGGAGCTCCGTGTTCTAACAACCTATCTAAAGCAACCGCTGTAAGCGTCGGAGGCATGGTTTTTGCACCACCAAACGATATAAACAGAGCAGGGTAGTCTTTCAGAGAAGGGAAAAAAAAAGTTTCAGAGCCTTGTAGTTCAACTCCAGTCAAATACAAAGAAACCCTAGAATCGAAGCCCAAGCAGACATGATATATTGTCTATCGTTTGTAGTTATGACTTATGACCACATAGAACTGAAACCTGGTCGTGAAAATTGCCCTCATGGAATTGCAAAACCCAAAAAGTCATCCTAGGCGAAGAACCTCCAAGCAGCTGAAGCCATTAATTCAAAACTTTTCAATATCTGAATGGAATCTGAGCCAACACCTACGAACAGAGACCTCAAATAAGAAGGACGAAAGAAGAAAACGGGCAAAGAATTTCATGCTGAAGATTCTGAGAAAGATGTTGCAATTGTAAAGCGCTATGTAAACAAACAAAAAGGGTTTGTTACCTGGAAACCTTCGCGGTGATTTGCACCGAGAGATGCTCGGATATACATCAACAACCAGAGGTTTTTATTTGAAGTTTTATGGCATAAGCTTGTGATTCTCATCCCGCCAATGAACCTTCGCTCTCCTCGAATATACGGGGGAGAGAGAGACAGCGTGCGGCGGAAAAAGAGTTATTATTATTATTAGGGTAAATTAGAAAGACCTCCTGTAATTTGTTTTGCAACAAACACCCCTCTTGTACTATAACCGTGAGACAAAAACCCCTTGTGTTAGCCTTTCATCCAAAAAAACCGTTATAATATTTTTCAATCCCTATATCACCCTCGAACGAAAAAAAACATTATTCATCTTCCTCGATCTTACGATACACTAACAGTAGCGGCACTAATCTCATCTATCTCAGATTTCTTTAAATTTCTCTCTCCCTCTCCTTCTTTCTCTTCTTACCCTTCCTAATGAGAAGTGATAGAAAGCTATCACGGATTTGGTGTTTTTCTCTTTAAGCGCCAGGCTAACATCACCGTAGACGAAAAATGGTGACACCGACTAGTGTTTTTCTCGTAGCCAACATTCAGTATGGTGGGGCGATAATATCACCGTAGCCGACATCTCCGACCCACCATACAATGGGCCACCATCTACATTCAAAGACATCCACCGACTCTTCACATTCGAAGAACCACCATCTACATTAACTTTCAGAAAATTCCCAGGTGGGGGAGTCCATCGATACAATGGGCCAGGAGTGTTAATGGAACTCTTAACAACTGGCTAGTGGCGCGAACAAATCTGATGGGTTTAGGGTCCACACAAGTCGATCCCTAGCTCCAACAGTCTGAGACTGTAATGGAATCATTGATATGGTAGTCACGGTGTGAGGGTCAAAGAACAGGTTTCGTTCATCAGTTTTCCAACTACCTGAGCTAACATTAATGAGGGAGTCCACTGTGATTTGAGAGTTTAACTCTACCACTTGTTAAAGTTCTACGGGATGAGGTAGCCAAGGTTCATGGAGGATTCTCACCTCACTCCCATCCCTAATTAAATAACGATCTCTTAAGCAAAGCAAATCTTTGCAACCGGCCACGTTGATCCAAATCTTTGCAGTGGAGGATAGAAGAGATTCTTAGGGTTGTCAGTGAGAACAGAGAAACAGATCTAGAGGTTCCGCTAGATTTGGAGCCAAAATTCCGAGTGGTTCTTACAGTCATTCACACCAGTGCACTCTAGACTTTTATCCTCGAGATCTGTTAGTGTATTATAAGCAGTGCACTGGATTTCTACGGGGAAGATGAACAATGTTTTTCTTGTTTGAGGGTAATATAGAGATTAAAAGATACGGTAACGGAAGGGAATCTTTGTCTCACGATCATAGTACAAAGGATATTTGTTGTAAAACAAAGTACAAGGAGGTATTTGTCACAGACCCATAGTACTGGGGGTCTTTATAATTTACCCTTATTATTATTATTATTATTATTTACACTCGGTTTGAAAAGAACATAAATGCAAATACATATAAAATATAAGATTTTGCACTCTTTATATTTACATTTATACTAATGCAAATACAAATATATAAAATACAAAACCTTAAATTTTATATTATTTTTTATATATTTATATTTATACTCCTTCCAAATGAGCCTTAGGTTTTAATGGACTAACGATTAACACCACTTCTCATCCTCTTATTTTGAGGGGATAAATTATAATTTATAAATACCCCTGTGAATTTTATTTGTGACAAAGACCTTTTGAATTTTACGTTGTGAGAAAGACTGAGACTCTCTCTGTTAGCTTTCCATCATATCGGTTAACTTTAAAAACGATTATTATTTGCTGTTTAAAGCTTTTCAGATCCCAAATTACCGTTTTATTATTTGTTCCAACGATATTACCCTTTTTAGTGTTTACACTTTCATAACCTAATAATTTCTGAAAATATTGATTGTTTTTATATAGTTAAAATAATTGGTGTGTAATATGTGTATAAATTATTCTTCTCCAACAATAGAGTAAAATTTGTGGATGATTTTTTGGTATTGTTGGAGATTATTTTATATATGATGATGGTATATTTTGAAAAGGGGAAATAGCTTTACCCTTTTTTTGTCATTTTGAAAACTTCATTACATCCCTTTTGTCGCCTTTAATTACAAAAAAGAAAGTTATTTTGGTAGTTTTGTCGCAACCTAAGAATTTAGGGAGTCTTTATCAAAAAAAAAAAAAGTACAGAGGTATTTTGTCATTTACCCGCCTCCCTTCTCTCAGTGTCCTCCTCCACACCGCAGAATTTGAAATAACATATTTTTCAGGAGCACAAATTTTGTGTCAAGCTTTTTTATTTTTTCTTTTTTCTGTGTGGTAATCAAGAAGGGTATATATTGTGTGAAGCGAAGGACCAAACTTTGATCCATTATACATCGAAAAAGCAACACGTGTTAAATTTGATGCACCCTTAAATGATTGTTGACTAGAAGGCCTTTGATTAGAGCTGAACCGGGTGGTCTGAAACTCTGAATCCTTTGTCACTTTGTCATCTAGGGAAAGTCAGTAACCTTAATGGCTGAAACCACTGCCCGTTGGAATTGGGTTGACTAAACACTTGAATATTTTATATTTTATTCCTTAAAAGCAAAGTATTAATCTATTAATTAAGTACTTAGTCATTCAGTTCAATCGTTCAGCTCTTGTGCAGTTGTGCTCACTCTCATACTCTTGTGCAGTTGTGTAAATCCATCAAGTCAAAAAAAAAAAAAAAAAAGAAAAATGCAGGGTTAGTATACCAAAGAAGTAATCAGAAACATTGGCATTTGAAAGATATTAAGTCTTAGGGAGTAGTGACATTTATTAGGTTCACTTTTATCATTCTATCAATTTTGAATTTTTATGAGATCATTTTGTTATCTTCTTTACATCTAACAATTCTCTTCCATAATTCTTTTAACAAATGCAAATTAAAAAAAAGAAAGAAGATATATTAAGTTCAAAACTTGGTTTTCGATATACAATAAAGGAGAGGACAAAATGATATAAAAAAAAAATACAATTGACAAATTGCTCATATTGATTACAAAGTGTTGGATTCCCAAGATGAGGGTTTATGATGGGAGAATGATGGCCCAATTTCTAATATTTTGGACTCATACCCTATTTATATGAGGGCTGGGTAATCAATTAACTTTAACCTAAGCCCACTAAGTTGAAGGTGTGATTAAGCTAAAATTATCATTTGTCACTATGAATTTGGAAGGAGTACAAATGCAAATATGTAGAGTATAAAATCTTATAATTTATATTATTTTATATGTATTTCCACTGTACATATTTGCATTTGTACTCTTTCCAAATTGGGCCTTAACTTTTTATTATGGCTCAGTTTGGAAAGAATGCATATGCAAATATATACTAAATAATATAAAATGCAAAGTTTTACACTCTACAAGTTTATATTTTTACTCTATGTAAAAATATTTTACACTCTATGTAAAAATCATCAGAGCTAAATCCTTTGTTTGTCACCAAATTAACTTTTTCTTATTTCAAAATACAAATATTCATCCCACTATGAGGATTACCACCAAGTGACTTCCAGTTCACGAAAGCAATCAAGTGTGCAGCTTCAATTCATTTGGCTGCACATATTTCCAACCAAATGTGCAGTTTTGCATCATACTGCACGTCATTTGTGTATGCACTATTATTAAGTTATTTTTTTATTCAACTGGTTTAAGGTTAAATGTATAAATTGTATTTCGAATGGTAACCGGCAGCAGCTGGCATGTCTCCCATTGTATTAATAAAATTCTGAAGACCACTTTTGCTTTTAATTTATTTCAACTTTCAACCAGCTAGCGTGATCTTTCTTAATTTTAAAAAAGGGGATTTAATGAGTTGACTCCATTTTACACATGGGAAGGAAAGCAGATATCATTCAGCCATTCAAATAACTTCGTTGAAATTCAAATTGCTCTCTCTCTCTGATATATTAATTTATATATATATATATATATATATATATATATATATATATATACGAAAGGGAATTTGATAAGATAAATTATATAAGATTTAGAGTCCAAATATTTTATTAAATAATATATTTTTTATTTTTAAAACATGAAAATGCCAAATAATGTTAAGTAATACAAGGTTAATTTAATTAATATCTCTTTTTTTTATTTTACAAAAATCAACTTCTCACTTATTTTAATAAAATAACGTCTCTTCATGTGTTTATATTATTATGCCTTCTCAAATCAATAATCCAGAAAATATTATATATTATACATGGTCAATATTATATTTTTAAGTGTGCGTAATTCCCTAAGATATTGAAAGATTATAAATCATATCCCCCAATTACAATATCCTTTGACCAAAAACCCAAAAACCTACGATTTCCGTAACTGTGACGTATCGATTAATAATAAGAGCGCCCATGGTATTCACCAAACAAAACATGATCGTTTATTGTTTATATGTGTTAAGGGTATCATCCTCAGAGTTGAGTTGCTTATCAAACAAACGAAGAAAAAAAACCTTAAGAGTTGAGTCAACTCAACCTGTAATATACATTTTATATGGGTTCATTATTATATCCGAAAAACTTATTAACCAATCAATCAGAATCATAAATATGTTAGTTGGTTTTTATTCACCAGCGGGGTTTTGAGGAATTCACATCTCCGCCCCACTGTATATCTCCATCATGTATTGGGAATATTTCCCAATGATACTACCAGTCTCGATAATATCATCATCGGGAGATGTTCTCAATACATGAAAGAGATATGATCTCGATTTTGAGTGGTCATATGATTCATATCTTTTCCAGGTCGTAGATTATTTCATTTTATATAACTAATCAACCCAATATCATAAAAGTGGTATTCATCAAAATTCAAGAGGATTTTAATTAGTCAAAGCTCTTTCAATATCATATTTTTTCGGCATCATAGATTTATTCAAATATTGCATTCGAGTCATGAAACGGAAGCCCAAATTCATAACGATTAGAAAAAGATTTTACCAATGCAAGCATCTTTCAAAACAAGTCTAGATCTCCTCTCAATAAAAATAAAATAAAAAATAAAAAAATCTTTACCACAAGTTCTAGCATGATTTGTGTAGACACATCCCATACATAGTGAGTCTTAACAGTTTTTATTGGGAGGAGATCCAAACCATACTAGACTGCACTTTTAAGACTAGACATTTCAATATGACATTTTATTTGATTATGGGGGTATTTGATATGTGGATGACAAATTGCATGATGTAGATTAATCAATTAAGCTCCATTGTGGTATTATTGAAACTACAATGAGGATGTTTGGAACCATAGCCATTTTTAAAAAAACGGTGCCACGTTGGATCTGTATAGATGTTTCAATAAACGCTCGTGTATCTCATTGTTTGGTTCAATTGATTATTAAAAAATTGGGCATGCCTTGAAAATCGGGACCGCACCGATGCATGAAACTCTATCGGTGAACCGTTTCCCCCAACAGTTGACTGACATGTATCCTATGTGGTGCTTACCTGTCAACACATACATGAAAAACGGTAATGAAAATCACCTTACCAAACAGCATAGTGTTGCTCACTGCCTATGTGGCAAAAGCGTTTTTTTTTTTTTTTTTTTTGTGAAAAACAGGTGGAAGTATGAACATTTTTTTTCTTGAAAATTGATCCCAAAAAGCGTCCACGCTTCCAAACACCATGAATGTTTTAATATCATACCGCACTTCTATAACGGCAAGTATTTTGTACACTAATATAGATGGTGTGGATGCCTTGTAAGCAAAATAATATTGATCATTTGTTGCAAAATTTTATAAGAATATTTAAATATATTGTGGTGTGAACTGATCCATGTTATTTAAGTATTGATTAAATTTTGCGAGATAATAATATGAATCCATCCATAATCTCAAAAAAGAAAATACCACTAAAGATGTAGGGTGGACTAGAACAAATCAACAATGGCTTTGTTCACAATACATAATACTCCTCAAACTTGGTAGGGATTTGTTACAAATACAGTGCTCCCAACACGGTCCCAACATGCCACTGCAAAGGATTGTTGGGAGCAGAACTGAACTCTCTCACACTATATTTTAAAGGGAAAATTCCCAATCACTACCTTGTACTTTGGCTTGAGTGACAATTTGGTCCCTGAACATTAAAATGTGACAATCCAGTATCCGAACTTTCAAAATGTGACAATCCAGTACATGCTGTTAACCAATCCGTTAATCAGCCATTAAATGACATTTGAAAAGTCAAAAATGCCCTTTGAATGCCATCTATTTCTCTTTAACAACCATCCAAACATTGATAAAAAATGGAACAATCCCAAATCCTAGCTTCTTCTATTCAAAAAAAGTTGGTGGCTGTTTAGAAGAATTTAGACTTTGGGACTATTCATTTTATTGTCAATGTTTGGATGGTTGATAAAGAGAATTAGAAGGCATTTGAAGGGCATTTTTTACTTTTCAAATGTCACTTAACAGCTAATTAACAAACTGGTTAACGGCAGGTACTGAATTGTCACATTTTGAAAGTTTGGGTACTGAATTATTGCATTTTAAAGTCCGATGACCAAATTTTCACTCGAGCCAAAGTACAGGATACTAATTAGGAATTTTGCCTATTTTAAATTTGACTTTGTCCATTTTATTTGTAAGAAGTAAAATCAAAGGACTTCCGCTTAAAAGAGGAAGGAGGTAGGAATGAATTGGATTTGGTCTTCACAAAACTGTCTTTGCATTATCCTCACAGGTCCTTGCAGTTATGTATTAGAAATATCTCCCATAAATAAAAAGATACAAATATAAAGATGTTCCCAATACACTGAAAAAACCCGAGTACGGTATGAATACGGTTTTGTGAGGATTGGATCCGTCCTTGGTGGGAGCAGGGGAAGAGGGCTCTAACCATCTAGGAATCTAGATGTGTGGTTTCCATTTAAATGAACAGGTATTGAAGTAGAAGGTGGTGAAATTTTGCATCAATTTTTAGTATAAAATTTTTACCTCCAGTGAGAACAAAAAAGACAATAAAACAAAAATAAACTTTGTATCAAATATAAATAGGTAAATTTCTTAAACTACCCTTATGGTTTAGCTAATTGATGAAGTATACTCTTACTATTTGAAAATTGATGGACATATATAAGTGACTTATATTCCGTTAAATTCATATATAAGTGACTTACCACTTGCATTCATTAATATTCCATTAAATTCATATATAAGTGATATATTTTATTTAAATCCCAATTTTGCCCCTATTGTCTTCTTCCTTTGAGCAGCAAACCAAACTGGTTCGGTCCTTTAAGGAACCCAAACGAGGTGCAAAGCCATTCTCTTCTTCTCTGAAGTCTGAACAATCCTAAGCAAACTAAGCTCGGTGAGGGTTGAGTAGGGATTCTTGGGCGGTATCTACTAATTCGGATTTGAAAGCCGAGGAACAACAGTTGTGCGGATTCGAAGAAACCCAGATCTGATTCTCAAATTTGAGATCCAAGTCATCATCCGCTGTTCTAGTAGTTCTAGAACCGCAAAGAGAATGAAATGGGAGAGATTGAGTAATCTATAGTTGAGTGTAAAATAGTCTTTTTAATATTATCGTTGAAAAAAAAGTATTAATTAGCTAATTAGCTAAACGAAGACTAGTTAATAAATACTAACCATAATTACAAATAAATAAAATCAAAATTGGGCCCGTCTATAACCAAACGTTACTTCCCAAAAAAAACTACAACCAAACGTAGCCAAATGCGGGCCGTACAGGTCAGGCTGATCAATGCAACAGCCATATTTGGGCCCGTCTTCGGTCAATGCGGGTCATAGTCGTATACATAAAAATATTCTAGATCTGTGGTGCTGATGGTTTTTTACGGTCAGCAAGGGAAGAATAGCACTACAGCCAAGCCAAGTGTCTGGAAACAGGATTCACCTGACCCGATTCATTCGATTCGCGGTCTTCTTGTTCCATGACACGTTTCACATTGTCTTGAAGTCGCAGAAAGTTGGTGACGGGTGTATTTGAATTCTGACGACGGAACGATAACAGAGAAGGTTTTGGAAAAGAGGAAGAGGAGGAGGAAAGGTGAAAGATGGATCTAAGGCACGTAGAGAGCATTTTGAAAGACTCGGAGAACGGTGGGTTGGTAAAGAAGAAAGAAGCACTGGTTTCGAAGCTTGACGATAGAAATGAAGTCGATTTCGGCACTGCTCTCCAGTTGTTTCTAGATCATATTTCTGTGGATTCAATCGTAGGGATCAGAAATTCACAAGGTAATTTCGTAGATGTCTTATGGTTTTTGCTATATAAACGGGAATTCTGCATGTTATCTTCTCTTTGATTTTTTTTTTTTTTTTAATTTAATGATAGTTCTGGAGCTGAACTCGGATGATTGCTTGCAAGATGCAATCCGTTTATTGTACGAAAAAAATGTATCGGGGGCTCTTATTGCAGGTGTCCTGGAATCCGATTCCACTGGGAGATACTCGGATCGATATGTTGGCTTCGTTCAGTTTGCTAGCATGGTTCTATGGTCTCTTGAGGTAATTCATTCCCACGACCTTGTACTTATTAGTGATCACCGTCTTCCAGATCTTTGTCAAAGGAGGAGGGAATATTAATTCACGGTGTCTTGATCTCATATATATGTGCTGTTCGAGTCAAGTATCCCTCATCTTTTATACTCTCTCGGAGACTTGGAATTAATTAAAATTCATGTTTCGGCTTCCCTCATTGCAAGTTGTATGGAATGTAGACGTTTTTTTTTTTTCTTTCATGCTGTAGCTCAAATTCAAAACAAGAATTCACGCGCTTGCGACCTCCTCGATCTAACCAGTATATATATAATGGGTAAAGACAAACATCTCTTCGTTTGATCAAATACCAAGAGCCATCTCGATTTAATGATCATTAACGTGTGTCATGTAGCCTTTGGGGATTAGAAGTATCTTTCTCTTGTTCATTACTTGATGGTTTAATCTGGGAGAATTGATCAGTAAGCCTTTCAAGTGCTAGTTTTATGACACTGCTGTTGTTTGCATTTATGTGCAAACCAGGAACGTGAGAAAACAAATGCTGACATAATAAACGAAGATGGGGAGACAATAAATATCAATGAGTTCTTCTCCATGCTGGAACAAATCCCTCAAATTGGGAAAACCAAGGTACGTATATATGTTTAATGCAACCATGCAAGAAAGGTTCACAATAATTATCAATACTTATATTTGCATGCAATGAATTTATATCAAGAGTTTTGTGGATTTTCTAAAGAAAGATTCAAAAACTATCAGGCCACTCTTTCCGGGCCAACGATTTAGAGAGATGCTTACTTAAAGTCATGAACAGGTTGGAGATCTAGCAAAGTCATTTCTATGGTACCCCTTCCTCCCTGTATATACAGATGATACATTCTTTCATGTCCTATTACTCTTCTCAAAGCATCGGCTTCAAGTTGTGCCAGTCATTGAGCGTTCCAATTCTTGTGTCCTTGGTTTTGTTACGCAGGTATGCTAATCTTTGTGGCTCGATGTCTATATATAGCACTGCAGTTGAACGTATTAGTTGGTGTTCAGGTTATTGACCTGTTCAATTTTAGACTGAAACTGGCTCACCACTTAGTGGGCAGACAATAACACAGTGTTAGTGGTAACTCAAAAACTAACCACTGCTAGGTTCTCTAGGAGCAGCCTAGATCATTAATTTCCACTAGGAATCAGGTACTAGGGCACTATGAAAATGGAATAAGATAAACTAGTAAACATGAGCGTAGATGGACTCGTTATTTTGTATTGGGATCTAACAAGTACTTACGTACCTTCTCTTTCATTGCATTAATTCCATGAAAGAGCTCTAATGTGGTGAAAGAAAATTGCTGGAAGATATACTTTAATAATCATAACATCTTCTGATCATGTTGACAAATGATTATCTTTTTTGGTCGGAATAATTATCTTTATTTTAAAATGCAGTCAAATGCTTACGGTAATCAATATTACAAGGTTACTGAGTTTAGAGGTGGTGGGGGTATATAAATGAACGTGTGTATATGCACATATTCCTTAATCCTTGGTTATTTTCCATGTAACTTTCCTCCATGGGAAAACTACAGGGCAAAGACCAAGTGAAACAGTTGTTGAACACTTCAACTTTTTTTCTCTCTATTTTTAGTGGTGATAATGTGCTTTGTGCCTTTGTTTTAGAATGCAGTGGTGCAACTACTCCTTCAATCCAGTGGACTGGAATTTTTTGATCGCATAGCAAACAAAGCTCTGTCAGAGTTCCGGTATGTCGATCAGTGAAATAAAAACCTAAAGAGTAGCTACAATGAAATGGACTCTGCTGAAATAAGATGGTTGTCCATTGCTGGTTCATTTCATTGCCTCTTATAACTTGTTTACTGTTCACCATTAGAATTTAAGTTATTTCATTATACATAGATGAACTTAGGCAATGCTCTAGTATCCTTATCCATGCCATTCTGCTGGGGGTGAGATCTGACATTTCGTGTGATAACCTAACAACTATCAGACCATTTGACCAACTGCTTTCTTTTGTGAAGTCAAAGCTATCAACCACATAATGAAGCATGTAGTGGTATATAATGGATGACTACAATCATCTTATCATGCCAATTTCTATAGACTACTCTGCAACCCATGGATGATGACTTTCAGTTCTTCCAAGCAAGAAATAACTTCAGGTATGGGTGAGAGATGGTCTAGCAGCTAGAGAATCAATACAAACTGGACAAAAATAGGTTTATGTGCCGGATATCAGAGGAAATAATAAACTTTTGTAAAAGTATAAAATTATAAATTATTTCTAGAGCACAATTTTGGATATACAAATAAGGTGCTCATTCCAGTGAAATCAGATTATGATAAAACCATATAATGCAGTACCTTAACTTATTGAAAAAAGTGTTTATGAGAATTATTCTGTTCAGGTTTGAGAGAGGGCGGTATACTTCTTATGTATATGGAGATCAGAGTTTAGCGCATGCTCTGCATATCTTGTGGGAAAACCAGGTTGATGGAATTCCGGTTGTCAACAGGGAGACAAAGAAGTTAATTGGCACTGTAAGGAGCAATGATGTCCATCTTCTACTGGACAACATTAAGTTATTTCATAACAGAAAGTAAGTTTGATATTTGATTTATTATTTCTTTTGGTAATTGATAAAGCTATTTACCATCCCATTAGATGATTGAGAACAATGGGTATTTGAACAATTGGATAGTTCAGATTGGATCTCACAATAAGAGCTGGTTATCTAAGATCTAAGAAATGACAGATGGGTGAAAGGAAATGCAATTATTATGCTAGCTACCCGATGGGTATCCATTGGTGTCCAACACCTTGCAATGACCATCAACTCATCGAATACACCTATAGATCTACTCATCCCAACCTAACTGCCATCCTAATTCTTTGGGGTTGACTAATGGACCTCTGATGATTAATCCCCAAGGGAAGTTTCTATTCCCATGGCCCAATGAACAATGACAAGGTGTAAGAAAATACCTTTTCTTTAGTGCCTACTTGATCTGTATTATGAAAGAGGACCATAAACTGGACGGACTAAGGTGTATTATGAAACAAGGGCATTATGAAAACACTGTCTACCATGATTATTGGGTTGAAATGTGCTGTTTGTTTGACAGTGTAATGGGTACAAACTACAAAATACAGTAAAGACTAGCATTAAAAAAATATCAACAGGGAGCATGATGGTTGAAATGATGCATGTTTCAATACAAATGCAGGATTATGAATGTAGAGGAGTTCATTCATTTGGATGTGGATGTCCCAAGCAAAGACCCCACCTTGGATCTCACAATCAACAAAGAACTAGGGACACTCATTTCTGCTGGTAATCTCCGCATAAAGGATGATTTCCACACAAGAATGGACTTCCCAGTTACCAATAGGAAAACGGACACACTCAAGCAAGTCATGGAGGTTCTGACAGGGTCAGCTAGCAATCGTAGCTTCCTGGTTGATGAATTCCAGAGCATAGTAGGAGTGGTGACATTGAGAGACATAATCATGCAATTCGCTCCCCCACTTATAGATTCAAGAATCAATGGAGGTGGTTTCTTTGAATCCGCTCTAGAGCAGGCAGGCTGTCATATGGAAAATGGTATAATGAAAACTCACCGTTGATTTCTTTCCCCTTGCATTTGCATCACCTTTTTCCTTTTATCCTCTTTTCAGTCACAGAACCACTCATCTTTGACAATTCCACCAGTTTCTGGAGACAGTACATATACAAAAGAATATCATTTGACTCTAGTGGCATGACTTTTTTTTCCCTCAACTCAACATCTTAAAATCTAGATAACTTTATGAAGAAAGAATCGGCAGGTCCAAAAACTAGAAGTGGATTAGAAAGCTGAATTGCATGCAGAGTAGGGATCCAAGATTGAGGTAAATTTGCCAGTTCTGCTTCATTGAATATATATGGTTAGTGGCATTTTCATGATTTTTTTTTGTAGATATCTACCTAATCGCCTGGTACACTAGGGTTTTTTTTTGGGGCAAATTATTTAAATATACGTGTGGTTTCATTGAACTAATTAAATATACTCTATGGTTTCCAAACCCACTTAAATATACCTTACTAAAGCATTTAACCATTAATGTTGATGGAAAAAAATTAAGGACAAAAATGCCTTTGATTGTTCTTTAAATTTTCAAAACATGCACTTGACTTTATGATGGCTTGCCATGCTTGCTGGCTCTTCCCGCATGTGGCCTTGGAGTTAAGTCAGATGAATCTGAAAATTTTAGCAGTCTTAATGCTGATATTACCATTGCCCCAAATGTTTCTGAACCTTTTTTTGCTGAAATTGACCCCACAAAAGTTGGTTAATTATCAAGAAAATTTGGCATGATTTTCTTTCTGTTGAAACAAATTTCACTATGATGAGCCTATGGAAGTGAAAGATGATCTTTGTCCAGATTGCCGTGGGAAGACTGTATCTCTCACTCTGGCCTTTTCAGAGACCACAATGTTTGTGTCTCAGAGCACCACAGTTCACTCTGGGATAAATTTGGAAGAAAATAAATCCTTACATGAAATTGGGTCTGAGATGGAAGCATCTGAAATGCCAGAAAGTCCTAGCAGGAGAGAAGCCATGGCTGTTCAGAATGAAATGAAATAAAGAATGTTGTGCTAGATGAAAGTTGCAATATTTATCATTCTCAAAGTTTCTTGCCAGGCAATTCTCTTCCAAGATCAATTGTGGAGGAAGGGAAGCATCATTCTGTCAGGAAGTGGTTGGTTAGACAACAGGTGATTTGAGTCAATCTAACAAAGACACTGCAGACAGGCAATTGCAGCATTTTAATAACCATCTCGAAGTGGTTGGCCAGACAACAGTTGGTTCCAGCCAATCTAACAGAGTAACAGTGACACTATGGACCAGCAATTACAGCATCCTCATAACCATCCAAGCTTAAAATTTAATGTTTCAGAAGGTTCAGGTATCTCTGTACTTTCGAAAAGCTCAAGTAGTATTAAGTGTCCTGTTGTTCAAGGGAGGACTTTTGCTGCTACCAGAATACCTTATGATGATCCCTCCTATGCGAGAGATGCTCAATTGGGCATGGCGGTGCTTCAGCATCTTCCTTTGTTGATTGGAACTCTTCCAGACAGGAGTCCCGTGTGCATAAGCATTTAAGTGGCAAGAAGGCTGGCTTGGAGAATTGAAGGCATGATTTGTATACAAAAGCTCAAAGCACTGGATTCTCTTCCTCTGGAATCTCAAACCATGTACATCAAATTATTGCCAAGGGCACAAGCGAAGAAACTTCTGATGCGTCTGTTAGAAATATGGAATTCAAGGCTTTGAAAGGGGATGATACTAGTTACTGATGAGGAAGATGTAACTTCAGAAGTTGTTGAGGTGGCTGTTATAGATTTATCTTTTGTCAATCCAGCGGTTTTCGATGACTATAAATTGAGTGCATAGAGAATTACAGAACAGAGAATCCTTCTGCCTCAGAATTATCAAGCATTCAATTAAAGGATGCTTCGTTAACAGCATTTCCAACTGACAGAGTGTGTTTCATCTGGTCTTTCTGAGGACTTCTTAAACTAAACAAGGGGTGCCTCAGGTTCGGAGATGGACATAAAAGATATCATTCTAGAATCCTCCAGAGAGAAAAAGAAAACAGTGTCAGTGGCTTCGATGATGTTGAGGCTCCTGGTCATGACTTTCAAATTGCATATCTGCAGAATTAGAAAAGGGCAAATTTCTTAAACTATCTCTATGGTTTAGCTAATTGAGCAATTATACCCTTATTGTTTAATTATTGTCTTTGTCATCGTCATAAAATTTTAACAGGATGAAATGTCAATTTTAGTCTTCCGTTAAATCCTATCTTTCCTCTAAACCTTCTCATCTTCCGTCAAATCAACTGTCTTTTTTCTCTGGATCAAGGTCTTTTACGAAGCTGTTCTGCTTCTGGAGCAAGGTCTTCCCTCATGCAAGCCTTATCGGAATTTCTTCACCACCGCCATTGCAATTGTCATGGTAATCACGCTCCAGCAGATCTCTCTCTCTCTCTCTCTGTTCTTCCCCTTTGTCATGGTAATCATCCTCGGTCTGCCTTCCTTTGACAAAAAGTTAAACCCTTGTTTCAATTAAAGCCAATTGGTACTCTACAGATACGGCCACCATGTGAGAAAACAGAGGACTTTAGAGAGGATTTTCTCTTGGACCTCTGGATGATTGAAGTTGATTGGGTTAGATTGGATGAGGCATCGAAAGTGCTGGTGAGTTGTGAGAAGCGAACCGTTCCAGCGGTTTCAAATCCATATACACGTTAGAGGATTTTCTCTTGGATCTCCGAATAATTGAAGTTGAGTGAGTTAGATTGGATGAGGCATCGACAACGCTGGTGAATTGTGAGAAGCGAACCATTCCAGCGGTTTCAAATTCATATCCACGTTAGTGGTAACCACCAGGAAGCATTCGTCTCCTCATATCAGAGATTGTCTACAATACTTTTGATATCCACCTTCTCTCTGGAGTTTCATCGAATGGCATTCAAGAAATTGCTAAAACCCGTCACCAAACCTTTGCAATCTTCTTCTTCGGCTTGTGTTATCTCTATAGAGAACCCTAATCTAGCCTCTTCCTCACCTGCTTGTGTTATCTCTATAGAGAACGCTAATCTAGCCAGACTACCTAGAAATTCTTCACCTGTCCCTCTCCCAAGAATCCCACTCTCCTTCATGTCTCAGTGCAACTATGGGAATCGAAGTAGGGGATTTTCAGGCAAGGGTTGTAAATCTGTCTGAAACGCTGGGAAGAGGTTCTCAATGACTTTGATCTTCCAATCGTACATGGCATCTCTAGGATTCGAAAGATTTTCCGCTTTGGGATCAAGAGTGATGGTGCTCTCCAAGTTTGAGATGCATTTGTTGATCTCCACTGGTGGTGCCGCCAATTCTGCCTGGCAAATGGTGCCAAGGGTTTCACCTTCTCCCTGTTGGCCATGATGGGTTCTTGGGAAGATGGAGAAAGAGAGAGGTCGAAGGAGGAAAGGGTGCTGATGTTATGCCGCTGCATCGAGAGGAAGGGGACGAAGGTGAGTGGGTTTTAAAAAAAAAGTTAAACGTGGTATCATATGTGTACGGATCTTGATGGAATATTAACAGACTAATTAACGACAGGGTAGAGCAAGTAAGGGTAATTTAGGTATACAATTATATCCATATTTATATCCATAAATTACTATTAAATGTGTGAATGAGAGTGGAACTTTTGTTTGATTAAAATAATTCGATTTTTACCAAAAGAAAAATCTCAATTTTTTAATTTGGTCACTTTCTAATTGAAAGGACATAAATGTAATTTGAATGATTATTTTTTACTTATTCAAATTTCTCTTATTTAGTTTTATATTTAAATCTATATTTATACTAATGTTAAACGTATGAATGAAAGTGTGGAAATTTTATAACTAAAATATCCTAATTTTTGAATTTGGTCCCTCTCTAGTTGAAAAGACAAAAATGTAATTTGAATAACCATTTTTTTCTTCATTCAAATTCTTCTCCTTAAGTCTTATATTTAATGTATAAACTCCCATCAACATTCATTGAATCTTATATTAAATAACCACAAAATAAGTGTGACAAAGAATAATTGTTTTTATTGATGATAAAAAATTAATATTAACAATAAATGGAGTTGTTTTTATATGTAGTGGCAAGTTAAAATTCAATATTTTGGGCCAAATGTGTCAATCCTTGATATAATAATAATAATATAATACAAAAATGCAAAAAGCGCTTAGGCACATTTTTAATATAGTATAATCATTGTATTTAACAAAAATAAATGTGTCAAATAAGAATTATTTTTATAAATATAAAAACATAAAAAATTATAGAAAATTTTGGGAATATATTTTCAACACTTATTAGTTTAGGGTAAAGACTTGAATCTCTCCTAAAGTTTGGGTCTTTCATAAATATTGAAACCTCTCCTGTTGATGTTATGTCTAATAGATTAATCAGAAGTTTCTTTTATCCTTATTAATTCTTCAAATTTTCAAAATATTGGAATCTCTCTTGCTCGAACATAATAATGGCATCAATAGATATGTGTTCTCAAGCACAAACTAAGAAAAAAAAGGATGAACATTCRTATTAAAAACAAAAGGAAATTTCTAAGGAAAAAAAATGAAATGCATATGTTTKGGTTTTTGGAAGCCACATGTGATTTTTTTTTTTTGAAAATTTTATCACTATTCAAGCAGGATATAGATTACTCTTTTTAGGGTATTTTGGTTAGTATAAAACCATATGTTTTATCTAAGGTCAATCTTGATATTTAAAAATGTTAAGGTAATGACATCTTCAATTTCAGATAACATTCTAGCGAGATAACAAAAGGGGGTGTGGATGCAATGATGTCAGGAAAGTTCAGGGGAGGACAGTGCTATTAGCATAAAGTAGGTAATGAACCATAATTGTCACAAAGTACAGAGGGGAGGTTTGAGCAATTTATCCATGATCTAATCTATTTAATCCACCTAACTCCTTTCTCTTCATGCTTTTGATTTTTGACCCCAGAAAAAAGTAGCAAATTTTCTATTTAGTTGCTTGCAAATGGATTCTGAGAGCTTAAATATGTTCATCAAGTAGTTAAGGGAGTTTTCACCTTGATAAGAACCTCCCAACTCGCTGAGGATAAAGTTCTCTTCAACCCACTAATTTTGCTTGTAAATACCTCCTTTTTGCTTCACCTGGAGATCATTTTTTAAAGGGAAATTGCAAATTAGTACTATCTTGTACTTTAGGGTAGTTTCACTTTAGTACCAAAACTTTAAAATGTGCCACTACAGTACTTGAACTCTCAAAAACCACCACCGTAATCCTTCAAAAGCCTAAACCCACAATCATTCCTCCTCTCTCCACTCTTATTGTTCTCTCTTTTCCCTTTCATCATCTTCCCTCCACCCTATGTTGTTGATGTCAATCAAGTCTCCAAGCAAGAGATAAAGGATTACAAGGCACCTCGAGTAGGGACTTGATGATCTGCGATCTAGTCGCTCCTTGCTGGAAGGCAGTTCGGATGTCGGACTAGCTACGTGGCCGGGTCAAATTGCAAGGCAAAAAGATCAGAGTGTTCTAGGGGTGCTTTACTCGGCGTGGGCACTTTGATGCTTAAGTTAGCAAAGGAGATTTAAAGAGAGCTAATTGCTTGTAAGTATGAGAATATGAGAGCTAAATCGCATGTACCATGTGAGGCTAGATGCAAAGTCTTTATATAGGCAAGCTACTATGGGCCTCACAATGTATGTTCGAGATCACCGACCTGTCTAGCCCGGAGTTAGCTTTGCACCCGAAGATGGACTCCAAGTAAGTTGATAAAGCTTATCCAGGTCCATTCAGTTTGGGCACGGTGAAGATAAGACCCATTGACGTGTGCCATGATCATGAGGAGATCGGAGACAACTAGCTTGCTTCTAAAAGAAGGCTATGTGGCATCTCGGCAGGTTGGTGAGTGTGGCAAGCTGCTCAAGCCCTGGTCTTAGTTGAGTGACCCGAGGTGAGTAGGACTGCTGAGGTGTCCGAGATTGCTAAAGTGTTGCCATATCACTACGTCACTCCACATGTCATTGCTTCATTGGATAGGCCAAATTATCCCTCATCAGGATTCAATTCGAATATGAGTCAAGCATCTAGTCAAGAAGGTTGGTGTAGGTTAATCCACTTTAAGGATTAGTATAGATTTAGTTTTCTCTGAAAAGCGCATAATCAAGGTTAATGCACATAAAGTCATTGAACCAAGGGAAGTAAGGGTAGATATGAAGGAAGAAAAACGATTTGGTTTGATTCAAGAATTAAAGCAAAGGCTTCATCACCGATACGACCATATCAGACCAAAATGTTCCAATCAAAGGTAGGAAGTTATTTCTAGCAAGATTCAAAGTATCGATACGTATCATATCAGGAGCACCCCGATACGCCCCTATAGAGGGTGTATCGGGGTTTTGACTAGTTCAAGGGGTGGACCTTAAATCGGCCCCCCTAAACCGGATTTGAAAAAGAGTAAAAAAAAAGTATTGATACTGCCCGATATGCCTCTAGGCTCTCTACCGGCATACCGATATTTAGAAGGAAAAATTCCCGATTAGTACCCTGTACTTTGGGCCTAGTGCCACTTTGGTCCCCGAGCTTTAAAATGCAACAATTCAGTACCCAAACTTTTAAAATGCGACAATCAAGTACTTGTCGTTAACTAGTTGTTAACCAGTCATTAAGTGACATTTGAAAAATACAGAGATGCCCTTCAAGTGTTATTTAATTTTCTTTATCAACCATCTAAACGTTGACGAAAAAATAACAATCCCAAATTCTTGCCTCTTCCACTCAAGAAAGTTAGGGTTATGTTTGAGTGGGCATTCTAGGGACCCCAACTTTCTTGAATAGAAGAGGCAAGGATCTGAGAATGTTAATTTTTTGTCAATGTTTGGATGGTTGATAAAGCGGTTGTTTGCCATCGTTGTCGTTTCCTGGAGCAATGGCGCCACATAAAAAAAAATGGTGCTCCAGGAAATGGGCATTTGTTTGGAACCGTTTTTCCATAAAAAACGGTGCTCCAAGCCATGCCTCGGAAATCGGTAAGCCATGGCTTGGAGCAACGCCAAATTTGGCGTTTCCTGGAACTACAGTTCGTTGCTGCCAATAGGGCAATGATGTGGCACTGGATAATGGGTACAGTGCTGAAAACATTTCCTGGAGCATTGGTACCAAATAGAAAAAGTTGTTGTTGCTCTAGGAAATGTCCTACCTAGCAGCAATGGTTCCAAACAAAAATGAAAGGCACAGTGCTTCCAACCACACATCAGCAGCACCGTTTTCTATGCATATGCAGCATCGATGCCAAACATGTACAAAGAAAATTAGATGACACTCAAAGGACAGTGTCTTTTTCAAATGCCACTTAACGGTTACTTAACAATTAGTTAAAAGCAGATATTGGATTGTCATGTTTTAAAAGTTTGGGTACTAAATTGTCACATTTTAAAGTTCGGAGACCAAAATGGCACTAGGCCTAAAATACAAGGTACTAATCAGAAATTTCCCTATTTAGAACCTTGGTTTCTAGTACATCCATGGTGATTGGTGTCCCAACTCCCAACTTTGATGTTTCAAATGTTATAGCTGGAAGTAAAATTCCATTGCCAACAATGAAGTATCGAATTAAGGTCTTGAAACAGAAAGGGACGAAATTTGTCCCTAGCCATTCGTCTGCGACAACCTATCTAGAAGGGATATTGGAGATTAGCTGGTTAGGAACCATTATTGATACTTGGATATTGGTCCCGGACCAGACTGAACGGTCGGACCGGAAAAATTGGGAACCAGCCAAGTGGCTGGTTCCGTTTCCCCCCAAAACCGGATTTTCTCAAAAAAAAAAAAAACATTGATTTTGGTCAGCAAACCGCTGAATCGGGCGGTTAACCATTCGAACGGTTTTGATTGTTTTTAATTTTTTTTTTTGTCAGAACAGACCGACCATTCGGTTCGAACGATCAGACTGTTTGACCCGATAATCGGACCCCTAACCGGTTCGGTCTTTGGGTCGGTTTTAAAAACCATGATTGGTCCGCATGAGGATAATTAGGATTTTGGGGTTTGCATTGTACATCGTAACGCAACCTAGTTCCAAGGTTTTGATGAACTTGATGGACAAAGATGGTGATGGGTGATTGTTGCCCGACCAGTTGAACGTAGTTTATACCCATCTAGCTAGAGATATCAGCATTTGTTAATGAAAAGAAAATGGGTTAGAGATGAATAAAGAAAGAATAAAACCCTTATTTCAGTTCTTTTTTTCAAAAACTAACGGAAGCCAGGAGACTGAAGGAAGAATAGAACAAAAAGCATTGTCGCCATCACTCCATTTTGGCATTATGTTTCCACTCCCTGTTGCTTCTTTTGTTGGAACAGAACTCTAGAACAATGTAGGACCATCAACAAGGGGGAAAACACCACCACTTAACCCACCAATATTCAGTTTATTCTGAGCATATAAGTCTTGAGAGAGATCAATCAAAGTAGTAGGGCACCATCAATCAAATTGGTAGAAGAGCTTGGTAGTTTTATTATGATAGTAAAGGATAATTTGATAATTTTACTATCCACTGTAATGTTCATTACTGGACTAAAGTGGCAATTTTTGAGAGTTCAATACTATAGTCTATAGTGGCATGTCTTTGAGTTCGGACATTAAATGAGATTACCCCCAAAGTAGATGATACTAATCGGCAATTTACCCTTATTAAAACGGGAAAGGGTATTTAAACCAATTTACCTCATATTTATGGAAATTAATAATTTGGCTAGAGGCTTTTGCATACGAATCTGCTTTAAACAACGAGCATTTTGGACTTGTGCTTAAGAATGTTAAACAGTCATCCACGTAAAGGAAGTGCGTGAGATGCTCTCTCTTCCCCAAACAAAGGCTTCAGCTCTCCTGCCTCTATCGCTGAGGAAGAAAATTTTGTCATCGTAACGGGAAAATCTATGATGCCGAACAGATATGATACCGGAAGAATTCTGATTTCTGACCCATGAATTTGCTTCCCTTTTAAACTTTTTTTTATTCAATCATCGTCAAGTACTGGGAAATTTTCAAAGCCAGTCTTTTTGAGCTGTAGGATCAGATAGATTGAATGCGTAAACTGTAAATCCAATCAAATTATTGGCTCTGCTCCCAATAAAAGATCATTCTAACACGATCTATGTTCGCACATCAGACATGGTGGAACGTGTTCGGATGACTTTTAGTTGGGAACAGATCCCAAATTCCCAACTCGTCACTTCGCTTGGCATCCCTCACGTATCCTGTTCCCACTTCCCACCTCTTAATCCCCCTCCAATGTCGCTCCGGGTCTGTTACCAACAGAGTGTTCCCACATCCTTACACACAGAACACCACCGCCATGTATTGAAAATATCTCCCTATAAATAAAAAATACCAATACAGAAATTTTCCTGATGAACGGCTCCGAAAGGCTGTGATCATGGTGTGAGGACCGTTCTGTGAAGACTGAATTCATACTTAAAAAAAAAAAAAAAGCCAATAAATGTAAGTTACAAATGCCAGCAGAGGAAAACCATTGTTTTCCAGGAAAGTTGAAATATGAGAGAACCAAAGAAATCAAATTATGATGCGGAACTAGGAATTGCAGAATATATATCAATACAATACACAGGCCTCCAAATCCCAGACAACAAACTTCCAATTTGTTTTTAGTGACTGCAAAATGATTGATCCTCTTGCCTTTGTCACACTATAATTCATAATTGCTGAAAAGTTCCTCTCTGATCTCACAAAGTCGAGAGGAGTTTTAACTGTTCATCTTCTTCCATCAGGCAGCAAGTAATCTTAGAGTAACCTTAGAACCCCTCTGTATTCCAAACTACAGACGACCCTCTTTTCCTGAACTCACATGGACGGAAACCACTCATGGCCTTCCCCACCAATGCCATAGCAGCAATACTTGGAAATTGCTTCCTTTCTAGTTCCTCTGAAGCTGCCTTGGAACCGTGTGGTTCACAAACATAAGTTGATGCTGGCTTCATCAATGGCGCCACTGCATGATGGCGACACCATCTCTGAATCCAAGAATGTGATAGATCCCAACTTTCCTTCATCAAACCCATGGAAGAACATTCCCCACTAGTCAATAACATCACGGCTTTATCTGATTCCATCTGTCCCTTCCCAAAACGTTTACCCAATATGGGCTCAGAGGTACTTCTGCCATAATTCATGACTGTGCCAAACAACTTATTTACTTTTACATTGGATGATGCATCTCCCAGTTTTGAACTTTTGGTATCGTGAGCAAGAGAATTGGAAGCACTTGGCTTGAGACGCTTAACCCATCTGTTGCCAGGATCCAGGCCTTGAGCGCTCTCCTGTTGAGGACTAAAGATTGAATCATCAGGCTGCTCAGTGTGGGAAAGAAGGTAATCCACATCCAAACTCTCAGTTCTTGATGTGCTCAACCCTCCGTTATCCATTGTGCCTGCTGCAGCTGAAGAGGCAGGAGCCTCCTGGCTCCTATCAAAAACTTCTGTCTGTGCTTTTATACTTTCAATTTCTTTAAATGAAGCCGTCTTTACTTCAGCTTTTGTGGGACCATGGTCGACCATGACACACTGCAAAACATGCTGTTGATGATGATTGAGTTATCCATTTTCCAAATTAGCCTCGCCACATGATGGGCATAGATACATGTGATGGAAAATGGCCAATGTTAGAAATAGTAATTTTTTTATAAACTATTTCATAAAATTTTGGTTCCATACTTTAAAGCAGAGACTTTTTTTTTTTTTTTTGGGGGGGGGGGGCGGTTCGCTGTTTAGAAAACACAGGTTTTGAATCCTGATCACACACGATTAGACATGTGATGTCAGCAATCAAACTGCCTATGCAAGTATGTATTATGTTCTACATTTCTTGTCACGTGATTTATGTTCACGGGAATTCTTATCTTGGAAAGTTTCATCCTCATGGCTTGATATGTCTATAATATTCAAAGGGACCCCATCTTGGATTTCCTGCGCTAGATATCAGCTCAAAGTAGCTAATCACCTTTAACAAAAAACATAAAAAAAAAGAAAGAAAAAAGAGTAGCTGATTGCAACTTCGTGGGAAGAAAATTATCAAAGGCATTGATTGCTACAAGGAAACCTGTGTACAACATGAATAGACATTTCCTGGGAAACCTGCTTGGGTTCTTTCCCTTGTTCATTTTGAGGGTATTTCCTCCTAAACAAACTTAGCACCCAATTTAGGAGATCCTTCCAATTTGCACTTACCTGTATCCTCCCTGAAGTAATGTCGTCCTTGACAACTATGATATGATTAAAGCTCCAAAAGACTCTAGAAATTATATGTAGATAGGGGTTGAAATGTTGAATAATAAGGGGGTCTCAACAGATGAGGGGATCTCAAACTTTACTTAACAGGAACCATGATCTCATTTAATGGGGTCCAATCAGATAAGAAGAAAAATTTTACACGATGACTTTAAGGCCTGTGGTATCTATCATATGGAGCAAAGTGCAATTCATTCAAAAAACAACATTTCATAAAACGAACACACTTGAGATTAGGTGTTGAGATGGATGCATGACAAAACTAGAAAGGCTAAAACTGGAAAAAGATTGCACAATTGGAAATCTAGGAGCCGATTATCAAAAAAGAAAAAAAATGGAAATCTAGGAGCCTCAATAGGTGATAAAATGAAGTAGAATAAGATGGTCTGTGAAGTAGACTAAGAAAAAATTCATAAAATGAGTATACCATGAGAAACATATTGTGACGGATATGTCAAAATTAGAGATGCATGAATACTTGGGAATTTGAGGGTGGGCTTCGGCATAACAGTTGGGTTGCTGCGTTCAACCTGGGAGACCAGGGTTCAAACCTTGGAACAGCTTCTCTGTGGAGCAAGGCTGCGTACACCTAAAGATCTTGCATATTGATATTGGCAAGAACCACGTGCACAGGGCTGCCCTTGAATACTTGAGAAAAAAGAGAGAATGAGAAGGAAAGTATAAAGATATGTTGCCTGCCCCTATCCATCTATTTATATTAAAATAATGATGTTGTACAATGACCATTCTACCCCTGCTACCCAATCTAATATACTCTGACTAAAGAACTCCTTTAGGCACATGGCTTCCTATCTTTTCAAGAAGTATCCAAGAAGTGGATACTTCCACTCTCAAAATTTCAAATAAAAGCCTTCTTCCTTAGACACATCTCTACCCGTTCTAAGAAAAAAGTAAGGTAGTTAACTCTACGTCTCCACTCTTAAAAAAAGTGCTAACTATATGGGGTCCGCTACATAAATCATGTTTCGCCATTCAATTCTGTTTAATGCCATGTACATTGTTAAATTAGAGCACTTAAATCATTTATTACTATGTCGGCCCATGTCCCTAAGTTTTAACAAGTTCCCAATAGCCTAAATAAATCTTACTCTACTAACCAGTAAGGATTTAAAAATTTAAAACAAAACAAAGGAATGACAAAATAGAGAACTAGGTCCAAATTTAATTGGTTTGAATCACATGAATCATGTAAATTGTGAGATTTATGAATTAATCATAAGACTCAAACAATAATGTAAGATTTAAAAAAATCAGTTGTAAGATTTGAATCCAAATCCTTGGGATTCATGATTTTATCCATGAATTGTAATATTCTTAGAACTATGGCCAAGGTACACAGGAAATAAAAAAGCTAAATGAGGATAAAAGACTGAACAAAAATAGATTAAATTTTTTAACGAGGAACGAAAAAAGAAGCAGAATGAATAACTGGAAATTAGCAAGGTCCACCTGAGAAAACATACAAGAGGAAGGATTTGTTGCGTACCTTATTTGATGTATGCAAAGCTTCACCTGCAAATCATAGATAGGTAAGGGACATTAGGCCGGGAAAATTTATGCTCATAGATGGTGTTCCACAAATGAAAACTGACAAGGCCGCATACCTGGAGGAGAGCTCCTGGAATGAAAAACATCCATGTCCATAGTGTCAGTTTCATCTGATGATTCATTCTTCAAAACTAGTGAATCAGTTTTGGCATCCTCAACATCTTCTTTTCCTTCTTGGTATGTGGAGTTCTCTAGAGGCTCAAGCTTTTGCTTACCATGCGAACCAAAATTAAAAGGTAATGTAAGCAGTTCATAGAATGCACTTCCTTTGAATTTTGTAGACACCATTGACTCTCTGATAATTTGGCCTCCCTTCAACATGTTAACATCAGTCTTTTTTGTGATCAACAAATGATGAGTTGTCTGAGAAAACTTTGATGGGCCACCAGGGACTCCTTCCACAGAATCAACTGTGGTACAAATTCTCAGAGTTTCTACATCATTAAAAGAACAACTTGGAGTTCTGTGTAGTGATCTATATCCATAGTTTAACTCCTCCAACTTGGATTCCCCAGCAGAGCTGCTGTGGCTTGGTAAAATTCCAGAAATAGGAAAGTTACGCTTCTTACCTTGTTTTCCAATTAAAAATGGGGGACTCAAATCAGTAATTGAAGGATCAGGCAGTTTCAAGATTTCACTCTTCTGCTCCAAATATGGATATCTGGAATTTCTAGCATTTGGATGGTTATCCATCTCCTTATCACAGATTAAAAACTTAGAAGAGGCACCATAATTAGATGTTTCATAATGATGAAGTTTACTTTTCTTGAGGTTTTCTTTGGATGATAATCCAGAGTACTGATCAATTTCTTCATTTTTGTAGCCAACGGATTTTAATGGCATCTGTACAGACTTAAAATCACAAGGCATAATATTATATCTCGACTCCATATGACCACCCCACAATGGCCTCCAGGCAGGGAAGGTTTTCTTTTCTAGAATCTTATGAGAATTCACCAGCTTCCCAGAAATTTGTGATATATCTTCAGTCAGATGATATTCTCTAGATGAACATTCTAATCCAGAAGTACATAATTCAAGCATTTTTGAGTGAAAATGGGACTCAGTTCTGCCATCCATGGCAGTAACATGCCCAGTGTTGTCATTGAATTGAAACCTGGATGGCTGCCTGTCATTGAAAGGTTGATTGTTTTTTGAAGCTAAAATATATTCTTTCTTTTTATCAAAATTGAAAATTGGAAAGGATTGCCATGTTGAACTTGCATTTCTGTAATTTCTTAAGTTCATTGCCACCATCTCATCTGCCATTTCAACTCTTCCAGTTTCAGTTATTTTTTCAACTCGCTTTCCATATTGGGAAACACTGGATTCCACCTTTAAGCCTTGTTCACGTCCCCACTCATTCATGTGATCCAAAACATTGTCTGGATGCACATCTACAACTGACCCTGTGACCTTAGGCTCATCAGTTTCCACGGGCATGGGGCTCTGCCTAGTATCATGATGCTCTTGCTTGCTTTCATTGTGAGGACAGATATGGTTATGAACCCGTGAAGCTGAGTCACAGTTTGTTTTCATCCAATGGGCCATCCACACAGATTGGTATGGGTGTAATGACTCCCTGACTTTTGTATCACCATCGTGAAAACTTTGCACAACATGGTCTGACATGATGAGTTAGAATAATATCTAAAACAATTTGAAGCTAAAATGATCCCCCATCAGAATGCCAGTACTTCCCTCTCACAATGCAGCTAAGAAGATAATGGTCAGAGACCAGGCTCAATCAATAGTGCATTATGATACATGATCTGCTTGGGGAAAGGGGCAAAAGATACTTCTGTTTAGCAACTATCAAAAGATTTTTTTAAAGGATACAGCAATAAAATAATCAAATAACAACCTACTTGAAACAAGAAATGGATCAAGCAACCTTTTGCTTCATTTTAGATTGAAAGGGGGAAAAGAGAGCAATTTCTGTTTCTTCCAAGGAAAGATGGATATATGTAGCTGGTAATCAAAACTTGCATTTATCATTGTTTTTTCTTTTCTAGTTTTCCCTATCAGTAATTAAAGGTTGGGAGGTCATTTTTTTGTGCTTTGGAGAATAATTGAGCATCAACAACTTCTATCCCCAAGGCTATTGTTTCAAGGAACAAAATAGGCAAAAAGGTATTAGTGGGTGAACATAATTTTTTAACCCAAAATATGGTATAACAGGTAAAAGAATTATGAGTTGATAGTTGGTTTTGACCCTTTTCCCTTATTTTTGATAGATTTAAGTTTGGGTTTGGTAATTGGAAATTCCACATGAGGGTTCTTTAACTTCAAGCATATATAGGAACTCTATGTTGTGTTGATATAGTAATTATATGGCAATTCCTACAAGTTTGAGGACCAAATAGACAAAAACAAAGGAAATCTGTGTTTGTCTGTCTGCATGTATGTGTTTGAGAGAGAATAATGGAAAATTAGCACATCAAGCAACCCATAAGTTATGATATACAGATACCCATAGTCCTATACATGCCTAGCATATTGGTATTGGGTATGATAGTGTTTTAAATGTGAAAGATGAAAAATCAGGCACATGCCTTAACAAATGAGGCAACACTTATAAAAAAATAAAAATCTTACTATACAAGAATTTACAAATCTAAATTTGAAAAATAAATAAAATATTTCAAATAAGTCTATTAGCTCAAGGGGTCAGAATATAGTTGATGGGGGGTGATTTGGCCCGACCTCGTAGCTCAGGTACACGTGGGCGTGACCTTGCTCAAACAGTGACTCAGCATGACAGCGCAACGGACGTGAGCACAA